ACGATAACATAACCATATAATGTATTGTTTTCACTATAGATTCTATGGTAAATGGGTAAATCTACAATAGAACAAGGGGGTTGCTATGTATCTTAACCATAGGAAAAATCAGTTTTTCCCGAACAAAGATGAGCCATTTACCATTAATTGTATTGTTGTTCTATTCTTGAAAATTCTTACTATATGGGACGTATTGTAAATCTATTGTAATAACATTATGTTAAAATTTCTTGTACAATATACGTATAATAAGATCGATTTTATTTTATGGCTATTGTATTGTAATTTTTTTGCGGGTTGTTAGTTTTCTTGTAGGTCTTGTGCTTAATGCTTGATTTGTTTTTCGCTTCGCATTTCTAAGCATTGGCTCTAAACAAAAACAAAGCTTCCCGCCGACAAGCTGTAGACCGCGTGCAGAATCTTTGTGATGATACTTTCCAAACGTGCATACTAGACTGATGCAAAATTTGACTTTATCGCTCCACAGTGCTTAAATGGTTTCAAATCGGGTCCTGATTAGCCTCCCAAAGTTACAACTCATTTGGTTAGAAACAGACTTCGCACAAGCCATTAGAAGTTTACATGTACATTACTATGGGAAATCTAAATTTTTGTTCATTGCCTTCTAGTCTTTTTTTATATTGAGCTGCAAAACAGTTCGATAGCCATTCTTATAGAAAACTTTGCTGAGGATCGTTTCTATGTAAAACGAGGCAGGAAAAAGTTATTAATTATTTAAGATATTGGTAAACTTATGACATGATCAAGCAGCTGCTCTGTAGGCAACACTGTATTTCGCAGTGTGACATAGTAGCCATGATTTTTGTGTCCTATTCAACGCCCCAGAAACACCAATGTTGCCTGCTGAGCAGTTGATTGAGCATGATCATAAGACATCAGCGCATTGAACTATTGATAACTTTCGATCCTTACATTTAATCGAAAAGTGGTCTTCAGCAAATTTGTAGCTGGGAAAATGTCCTACAAGTACAGTTAAAAGTTTTTGAAGCAGACCGATATGGTGAATCATTAGATAGACATGAACAAAAATCTTGGTTTTACCATAGTAACTCCCATACAAACTTCAAATGGTTTGTGCCATCTCAGTTTCTCACCAAATGGGTTCAAGTTTTGAGAGGTTAGTCAGGATCCGATTTGGAATCGTTTAAGTATTGTGGATCGAAAATTTCAAATTTTGCATCACTCTAGTGCATACCTATAGAAATAAATCTAATTCCAGGATTTATTAAAAAAACAGATGATTTCTACTGTGACTACTGTGACTAAATCCAGCATTCCTACTAAAATATCAAATGCTGCATTTATTATTAGTACAGAGCAAAAAACAATGTCCGGTGATGATTAATCTTATGCTTTTATAAGCGGGTTCAAATGCACTTTTGGTAAGCATCAACACTGATCTGGCAACACTAGTGTGCATCTTTCCAATGTGGTAAAGATCCAGATCAGCCCTGGGACCTAGTAGCCAATTTAAACAACCTCAAGGTTTTCCCAAAGCCCAGGAAATTTCTAGCTAGAAATTTTCCGGGAAAATTTCTGAAACTCTAAAGGAATTTCAGTTTCAAGGTGTTCTGAGCAGGCATGGAAAATCATTTACATTCATTTCATGCATTCATTTACATTCATTTGCCTCTAACTTTTTTCATCAACAGAATTTTGCAAAATGATGTAAAGAGCTTTAGTAGGTTTTGTTATCAACTACAACTTTTGCTCATAACTAAAATCTGTATCTCTTATGCATCACGAATTAGAGTGGGCCAAACTTGTTACTGTTTTTCAGTGAATGTAAAACACATTCACTGAAAAACAGTAGTGGCTTCTGTTCGCTCTGGTTCGTCATGCATAAGAGATACGGATTTGAGTTTTTGACAAAAGTTGTAGATAATAACAAAACCTACAAAAGCTCCATACATCATTTTGCGGAGTTCTGTTGATGAAAAAAGTTAGGGCAAATGAATGTAAATGAATGCACGAAATGAATGTAAATGATTTTCCATGTCTGGTTCTGAGAAAAAAATCATGAAGAGTTTTAAATATAATTCCAGAGGACTTCTGAGAAGAATTTCAAAAGAGCTCATAGAGTTCTAAAATTTGAGAAAAGAACCTCAAGGAATTCTGAGGATGGATTTTTTTGCAACGTTACAAAGTTCAAAAACAGCTTTTGGATTCCCTAATTGAAAAGTGGGTATTAGTGTTCCATTGAACCTTGGTCTATTGTTGTCTTACTAAGAATTCATCTAAGAATTTTCTCTGAAAATTTGAAGTCATAACCGTGATTAAAAAGTTACAGCTGTTTATGTGCGTTGAATGTTCGGCATCATTTTCTATCACCTCGACTGGCGGTACTTTGGGCAGGGTTGACATGCTCAATTCTTCGCACAAGTCGTCATTCCGTTAACAATTCTGTACTCGCTTGCCAAAATAGTTTTATGCGGATTTGTTCCAATTTTGTTTGCTTATTAATTTTTTTGATAAGGCTCAACCGAATTAACTTAACTGAGCCGAGGATTCTTGTTCACTATATAATACTTCTTAAAACTATAGTCAAAAGGTACAACACAATAAACATTTTATCTTCCGCTATCCAATAAGCCTCCTCCACCAGAAGTGGAGCCGCTTTCAGTGGTTTCATTGTATGGGAGATTCTCCAACGAGGGTCAGAGCGCTTCCATTGCAGCAATTGATGCAAAACGTGGTCAGCACTCACACATTCATCACGAAACGGTTGCTTTCCAAACTCGACGACGCATCGACTGAAAGAACTGCTTATGAAGAACAATGAGGAGGACCACACAATGGTTGCTGCCGAGTAAATAGACGATTGCGTGACACACATTGAGAGTGATCTGCTACTGTCGATAGCCGAGTGAACACTGATTTTGTTCCAATTGTTACATATTTTTTAAACCTTTTAATGATCCTATTGGCCTTGGCATTTAGTTCAACGAACTCGCAACGGTAATAGTAAAGTGTAACTATAAAAGCATATAAGGGCTTATAACCTTGAATTTGTCAAAAATAAACTGTGGCATCGTAACATCGTTCAAAATATGAAAAAAACGAACTTCAAGCGTGGAAGAATTTCACAGCCAGGAAGGGTATCGACGAATAACTGGACCACCAAAAACTAGCAATGATTGCTGCTAGAGAGACAAAGCGTCTACAAAATCGCTATTGTGCGCTTACTTTGCAAAGGCGGCCGACCACTTCGTGAACATTCAGAAGGAGCGGAAAGTGTGCCACCCTGTTGTTGGCTAACTACGATCCTGTGCTGGAGAAACACTTGGCGGAAGGTGCCAAAAATTGCCTGTACACAAGTAACCGTATTCAAAATGACATGATTACGTCGTTGCACAGTGTAATGTTGCGGAACATTGCGAAAAACTGGCGAGGAAAACCAGTGGCAATCATTGCAGATGAGACGAGTGATTGTGGCCACCACGAGCAGTTGGCGATTGTCATCAGGTATATTGATAATGATCGGTCGACGGAAGCATTCGTGGGTGTGAGACGGGTGTTGAAAACAGACGCGACGACCATCTTCAATACCATTGCTGAGGTCCTGACAGCGATGCAGATTTCTTGGGAGCAGGTGATGCCAGTATGTTTTGACGATGCCAGCACAATGGCTGGCAGCACTGCTGGAGCACCAGCCAAGTGCACGGACAATGTACTGTTTTTTCACTGCTATGCGCAGTGTTTGAACCTTGTCGACGCAGTGTGCATGCGAAAGGAGAATGCGATTCTTATTGGTCATTCATGTGTGTTTGTCGGTGATATTACCGCCATCTGACGTGACATCAGCTGAATCCAACCACCAAGGCAACAACATTGCAGCAAATGTATCATTTCGGTTAAAGTCCTGCTATAAACCGGTGGAAACTATTGTTTTTAAATTGGCTGACTACTTGACTATCCTATTGGTCCCAAGTACGTCTATAAGCGTTGCCCATTCTAGTCAAAACTCTAGTTCTACACTATATTTGTTGTTGATTTGCTATGAAAGTTTGACAGATAAAATGTGGGGTTTGTGGATTTTCCTATGTTTCAAGGGGTGCATCGTTTAGCTTGGGACTGAAGATAGTACCAGAGCTGAGCCAAAAAGTTGAGCACATTTCTTCTGAGCCTACTAGTCTTAGAGTTACCTCTATGCTACTATCGCAACCATTTGACGAACCGATAATCAAGATAAAATTTCCAATTTCCATTTGCTGTCTGAAAGGAGTTTGCATTGAAGAAGATGAACCACTACCGGAGCAAAAATAAATAAAATGAGCTAAAATGAGCCACCACGCACTTTGGAGAACTCCCCATATGGATTAAATGCACCATAGAAAAAAAACTTGTCCCTCCTTATCAAGATTACTGTGCACGCTAGTGAGACTTACCATAGTTTTTCTTGTTTCAATATCATCCTCGGTGGAAAAAGACTCGAGTCTTGTCGCTATCAATGAGGCGTTAAACGTTATAAGAACTTAAATGCTGTAAAATACATGTTCGCCTAATTTGAATCAGGATTAGTGATTGGGATTCTTATACTACAAGTCTCAACAATTCCTGGTTTAATTTCATTACAACAATCAGTAACTATTATCAGTAACAGTTTTGAGTCCATCTGTCTGATATTCGATGACTAAATATGTCCTGTATTTTCAAATTTGTCTACCCATTTGAAAATTCTCGGTGGTACGAGTTTATTTAGCATTGCAATATATTATGATTGTAGCCTTGAAATAAGCTTCCAGTTCAGCATAATTTTAATAAAACGACTCTGCACCGTAATTGATCAATCTACCCGGACTGGTGCCCGGGCAGAATTGATCACCGCTGCCCGTAATTACCGCCCATAATCAGCGTTATTATCACCCCAATTCCACCCGCACACCTCACAATGGAAAAATAAACGATCTTCCTCACGGCCTCCGAACTCCGGTGGGACAAAAAAAAAAAGAGCAACAGCATAGCAATGAAAAATTTACCTTTTTATGTGCTTCCTTCTCCGGGAGATTTCACAGATTCAACTTCAGTCAGCAGTCAGCAAAGCAAGGACGACGTCAACTGACGACACACAACAGCAGCAACAGCAGGAGTCAGGAAATTTTCTGCAACAAAAAAATTATCAAATCACGACTTTTTCTTCTCTTCGGGTTTATCTTTTGCTTCTTGTTTGAATTTATATGTCGCAATGGCACACTGAGATTTTTTTTATCTTGATAACTCTGTCACTCTAGTAAAAGTAGCGCTCTCTTTTTCTCGTCTCTCTATCTTTGGCTTTATTTGGTTACTTTTTTGTGTGCCATAAAGGAACGGAAAGTGGGATATAAATCACAAACACACTTTTTCCCTTGTTTTTTTTTAACGGGTCCAGACGATACATCCTTGTTATCGAGGATTATTTTTGGGTTGGCTTCCCACGACACTTGCTAATTTTTTTCTGCTTTTTCGTACATCACAACCTTATCAATTTTGCTCTGTTTCTCGCACTATGTTTTTTTTTTTTTCGTTATCACTACGAGGTTTGTTCGCACTTGATTTTGTGTGTGTACAGCATCAGCACTTCTCGGCTCATTTATCATCAAACGAGCGAGTATAAATTTATAATCAATGCTTCCGCTGTCGGTTACGATACTTCCCCGATTCGGGATATCTTCGCGCGCAGCCCAACCACCGTCTTCGGTTAACTTTCGTTTATAATTTATTTATTGATTTTATTACTCTCAATTAATAGCAGCAATCGTTCTTCTTTTCGAACTTTCTCCACTCCCTGGTCCAGCTCGTCTGTTCTTTATCGCTCACTTCACTGGTTCTGACTCGTTTGCTCCCATTTCTTAACAGACACAACAAGCACCAATTCCCGAGCAGTGGCACTTTTCAATTATATTTACCAATTATCTCAATTGAGTGCAGTTTATTCTTCACGCTACTGCTTGCCCCGTTCCCGATTACAATCCCGGCTTGATTATTTTCAATTATGGCAGCAATTTAGGAATGGGTTCTTCTTCTCGCCGTTCTTTGAAATAACTTTTGCGTCGTTCCTTTTAATTTGCTTCAATGAATTTCCATCCTTTGAGAGTACCTCAAGCATCTAGGATTTTTACACCCTTTGCCAATAATGCAAACAGTAAAAGAAAAATCAAACGAATGGACCAACCCAACGCAACTCAAGAAAGGATGCTGCGGGGATTTTCCTCCGTCCACCCACACTTTCTCTCGCACAGGAAAATACGAAATCTCGCTGTACCACCTCATGCACTTAAAAAAAAAAAAAAAAACAAAAAATGACACACACCACAATCCACCTCAAAGATATCAGAAAATCAGAAAAAAAAGATGATCCCACACTCACTTCAGGTTCAGTTCACAGAACCGAGCACTTTTGAACTGTGGTTCGATCCGAGGAGCAGAAATCCGTCGCGATTGATCAGGACGATGGCTCACACTATTATGAGGCACGGAGTCTGACCGATGCGATGGCGATGGTTCAGTATTGGCGTTGTTTTATGCGCGGCAGTCGGTCGGAGGTGGGTTGCTGCTGCCAGCAATAATGCTCTCGACTGACTGCTCGAATCTCGCTCTCGCTCGCTTGCCACCATCAGCGAACAGCATGATGCTCTTCGTCGAGTTTGTTTCTGGGCGTCCACGCGGGTGGAGGGAAGCTGGGAGAACGTTTTTTCCTCTCTCCCGTGCGTTCATCGATCGATGAAAGCATAAATTCTCTGCAATCAGTGCGATTATTGCTATTGAATGGTGTTGGCCGATCAGTACTGTATTATTATTAATCTGAAAATTTGTGAGAACGTTTGTTGATTTCATAAAATTTGCAATCCAAATGCCATCATTTACTGGAAAAAAAAACAAATATTATTGAAAAATTTCCAAGGAAACAGAGTACAGAAGGATTAGTGTGATTCAAAATATCAATATTGACTATGGCACTTTGTCGATTCCAAATCAGGTCCTGGAAATTCTCTAAACATTTGAGCTTATTTAAAAAAAAATCATGATGATGGCCCTACCTCTTACCTCTACAAAGGTTTGAGCTGGACGATTTATCTTTATGATAATTAAATGTAAACATTTTAACCAGGTTAGCAAAAAAAAACGAACTGGTTACATTTACAGATATAAATTCCCTCTAGAGTTTACAGTTGCTTCACAGCGATATAAATGTGGAAAAGCTCAGGCATCCACCTCTTAGTTTGCCTTTTTGTCCACCTAAAATATTCATTAGTATTACAAGCAATCAAGAGTTAATGAACAATCAACAAAGCATCCTATTACACTAGCAACCCCGCAATCTGATGCTATCATAATTTTCAGCAATGTCAGGAATGCTCACGAGCTCCCAACATTTGTCAGAAAACTTACTACTAACTCAAGGTATCTTCCAAATAAGCTTCAAAATAGCATTTTTTTTCAAATGAAAAAAACGCAGTAGGCTCTGCCCGCGAACGGTTGGTTTTGTTTTCGCTGGCGCTGATATCATCTGTTTTTCCCATATTTTTTAATTGTACCAAATCAAACAAATATTAATTTTCGCGTGTGGATAAGTGTAAATTAAGATCAATCACGTTGCTGTGGTGTCGCGTCGGTCGGTTTTTCATTTCGCTTGTTTTTGGTGCTTTGCCTCCCTCCCAAGAAGAGTTTTACCAGGTATTTTTTTTCTTTTCTTGGTGCTGGCGTTCTGCCTTCCGGAGGATGCACGCGAATGAGGTGTCAAGAAAAAAATCGGTGCAAATGAAAAACTTCGAATGTGATTCAAAATGTCGTGTTGGGTTGTAAAAACAACGCGGAAGATTTTTTCGATTACCGCGAGTGAACAAACCGGTCCTTTTTCGGAGACAGAATTTGGTGAGATCCATCTGATTTATAATCAATTATAAATGCATATTTCCATATATTACTAAATACGCGGCAGATTTCGAAACGTCACATTTTGAAATCTGGAAGTGTGTTTGCAGTACCATTATTCATATGATAACGGTAGTGTTTACATGCGGGGCTTATTGTATGTGACAGTAACCTCGGAATGGACGTGAATTACCAGGCATTCTGAAATGGGTTGCTGAATCTGCAGTAGAGCTAACGCTTTCTAACTCCCGGACTAAACTTGCTTTAAATTATTACATCAAGGATTGTTGTAAGCAAATTTCTTCCATAATAGCACTGCCGGCCAGTGGGGGTTAGATTGAACACACACAGACACACACACACACTCACACACACACACACACACACACACACACACACACACACACACACACACACACACACACACACACACACACACACACACACACACACACACACACACACACACACACACACACACACACACACACACACACACACACACACACAGACACATACACACACACACACACACATACACAGACACACACACACACACACACACACACACACACACACACACACACACACACAGACACACACACACACACGCACACACACACACACACACACAGACACACACACACACACACACACACACACACACACACACACACACACACACACACACACACACACACACACACACACACACACACACACACAGAGACACACACACACACACACACACACACACACACACACACACACACACACACACACACACACACACACACACACACACACACACAGAGAGACACACACACACACACACACACACACACACACACACACACACACACACACACACGCACAGACACACACACACACACACACACACACACACACACACACACACACACACACACACACACACACACACACACACACACACACACACACAGACACATACACACACACACACACACATACACAGACACACACACACACACACACACACACACACACACACACACACACACACACACACAGACACACACACACACACACGCACACACACACACACACACACAGACACACACACACACACAGACACACACACACACACACACACACACACACACACACACACACACACACACACACACACACACACACACACACAGAGACACACACACACACACACACACACACACACACACACACACACACACACACACACACACACACACACACACACACACACACACAGAGACACACACACACACACACACACACACACACACACACACACACACACACACACACACGCACACACACACACACACACACACACACACACACACACACACACACACACACACACACACACACACACACACACACACACACACACACACACACACACACACACACACACACACACACACACACACACACACACACACACACACACACGCACACACACACACACACACACACACACGGAAGTGTTTCGCTTTTAAACGAGTGATTAAGCAGAGCAAGTCGAACTGTTTTAAGGAGCTGTGTCAAGACGCTGATGCCAACCCCTGGGGCGACGCATACCGAGTCGTGATGGCGAAGATCAGAGGTCCAACGATGCCCGCTGAAATGTGCCCAGAGAAGCTGAAAGTCATCGTGGAAGGACTTTTCCCGAAGCACGACCCAACAACCTGGCCACCTACACCGTACGGAGAAAGAGATGGAGATAACGTCGAAATCACCAACGAGGAGCTCGTAGTAGTGGCGAAAGGATTGAAGGTGAAGAAAGCTCCCGGTCCGGATGGAATCCCCAACGTAGCGTTGAAAGCGGCGATCCAGTCATCCCCGGACATGTTCAGGATGGTGCTGCAGAAATGCCTGAACGAGGGTCACTTCCCTGACAGGTGGAAGATACAGAAGCTAGTGTTGCTGCCGAAACCAGGAAAACCGCCGGGGGATCCAGCATCATACAGGCCTATATGCCTGCTGGATACACTCGGAAAACTCTTGGAGAGGATCATCCTAAACAGGCTGACGAAATACACGGAGAGTGAGCACGGATTGTCGGAGAGGCAGTTCGGATTCCGGAAAGGGAGATCGACGGTGGATGCAATTCGGACAGTGGTCGAGAGAGCTGAAAAGGCGACCAAACAGAAGCGGAGAGGAGATCGATATTGCGCCGTCATAACGATCGACGTCAAGAATGCGTTCAACAGCGCCAGCTGGGAGGCCATCGCCGAAGCACTGCATAGAATGAGGGTCCCTGACTACCTGTGCAGGATCCTGAGGAGTTATTTCCAGAACCGGGTTCTGGTCTACGAGACAGACATGGGACAGAGATCGATTAGGATCACAGCGGGAGTTCCACAAGGCTCCATCCTTGGTCCAACGCTCTGGAACGGGATGTACAACGGCGTGCTAACGCTGAAACTGCCCAAAGGAGTTGAGATCGTTGGATTTGCGGACGACGTCGTCTTGACGGTAACAGGCGAGACGCTGGAAGAGGTGGAAGTGTTGTCAACCGAGGCAATCGACATGATTGGTAACTGGATGAAAGGAGCGAAGCTGCAAATAGCCCACCACAAAACGGAAGTGTTATTGGTCAGTAACTGTAAAGCGGTACAGCGGGCGGAAATCACCGTCGGGGAGCACACCATAGCCTCGAAGCGTGTGTTAAAATACCTGGGAGTGATGATCGATGACCGGCTAAACTTCAACAGCCACGTCGAATATGCCTGTGAGAAGGCTTCGAAGGCCATCAACGCGATAGCTAGAATCATGCCGAACAACGCTGGTCCCAGCAGTAGCAAGAGGCGTCTTCTGGCCAGCGTGTCATCATCGATACTGAGATATGGAGGTCCAGCCTGGGTTCCAGCGCTGGAAACGAAGCAGAACCAAAGGAAACTGAGCAGTACGTTCCGGCTCATGGCCATGCGAGTCGTGAGTGCGTACAGAACCATCTCGTCGGAAGCAGTATGCGTTATCGCCGGTATGATCCCTATCGGCATCACCCTGGCGGAGGACAGTGAGTGCTACAGGCAGAGAGAAGCCGGAAGAGTACGGAAAGTTGTGAGAGTGGAGTCATTGGCTAAGTGGCAACAGGAGTGGAACACGACGGAGAACGGTAGATGGACACATAGACTAATACCGATTCTTTCGACCTGGGTGAACAGAAAACACGGAGAAGTCAATTTCCACCTAACGCAGTTCCTG